GTCACCCACCCCCCCCCGGAGCGGCATCCTACAGGGGTGGCTGTCCCTGTCCCCAGGAGAGGAGCCGGGGACAGCGGCTGTCCCCTGCCCTTGCCCCCTCCCCGCAGCCACCAACCGGTTCCTCACCTGACGGGCCCGAGGGTGACGCTTGCCGTGTCACCGCCGATGGCAGCGCCCGGGGAGGCACGGCACTCCCAAACAGCAGCTGACCTGGGCGTACCTGAGGCCACCGACACGCTCCCGTGAAAACACCCCGTGCCACGCTGCTTCGTGTTGCTAATAATAAATCAGCTCCTGAAAATGAAATGACATGGGGAGGGGGGGAGTTCAGCCGCTTGAGGTGGCTCTACCAGCCTCTGCCTGCAGCCAAGAGCGCGCCTGGGAGCTGGCCCGGGAATGGCAGCGGCTCCCATAAAAGATTTCACCGCTTGCTACAAGCCTGCGTTGCTCAGGAGCATGACCACGCAGATCCGGCTGCGAGGGGACAAGAAGATGCACGAGAGCCTGGGCCGAAGCGGTGACGCATCCCGGCAGCGAGCAGGTTGGTGGCAGGACACGCGGCAAAGCCGGAGGCCATAAGCCCGGCAAGAAAACAGGTGGTTTCTGCTGCATTTCCACGCTCTCAGCTCAGTCGGGTTTGGGTCCCTGTGCGGATGCGTCTCCTGATGTGAAAAGCTGCATCGCTGCATTTAATCCGCATCCTTCCCGGAGGCTCGCAAGGGCCTGGCCATGTGCCCAGGGGAGTTTGCCAACCGCTGGAAGTGACTAGAAGAATTTATAAAGCAAGAAGCCTGTCCCTCCCGCGGGCTTCCCAGCACATTGCCTTCTCCTGTGGGATTCGGGGGCCGGCACCGTGTGTCTTGTGGGCTGTGCAAACCCGAGCATCCTGCTGCTGTTCAGTGGTACCAGGGGTCGGGGACAGGGACACGACACCAAACCCGGGGCGATGCCTACAGAAGAGCCGGGGCTCCCTGTGCTTTTGTGTCTCTGCCTCATTCCTCCCTTCACCCCCCTGAACCGGGACTCGAGACCTAAATGAACGAAACAGTCGGGCAGTGATTTCCTGGCCCCCCCTGCCCCCCCATGATCCCAGGGGAACGGCTCCTTCCCAGGGCGAGGGCTGAGGACGCCGCTGCCCTCGGAGGCTTTGCTGACCCACGTCGAGGGGAACTGCGCTGGGGAAAAGCTAATCCCCAATTAGGGCGTTTGTGTTGACTTTCCGCCGCCTGCTCCAACTTCCGAGTCATTAGCCTCCGAAAAAAGATCCTGGTTTTCACATCTTGCCCCTCCTCGGATGGCAGCAGAACCAGTTTGAAAATATATTTGTACACAGTTATGGGGCATTGTCCAAATAATCACAGCGAGAGGGAGAGTATCCGTTACCCTCCGGGGAGAGCTCTCGTCGGGTGGGCGAGGAAAGTAGAGGAGGAAGGCGAAGAGGAAGGTCGTCCTCAGCTTTCCCTCCGTTACAGTCCCGGTCCTGGCAGAGAAGGAAAGTCCAGGAGCCCCCTAAAGCACCAGCCCTTCGTGCAGAGCCCCAGAAAGCTTTACCCCCTCCCCAGAGAGCTCCAGCGCCGGCAGCGTGCCGGGGTACCCAGCTGGATAACTCATTTTCCGCTTGCACGGCCAAGATGGTCACAAGGATGCCGGGCGCCTCACGGGGAGAGCAGCTGGTTGGAGCTCAGCTCCCGCGAGGCCAAGGCAGAGGCACACAGGAGGGGAGGCAGAGAGGCGGGGGGCTGCCACGTGCCCTAAGAGCTCCCCCCCGTGCCTGATCCCTGGGAGGTGAGATCCCAAATGGCACCTAATGGTGCCAAAACACATCGGCCACCGGTCGCGGCATCACGTGCTTCAGCAGCCACCAAAGCTCCTGGCCCTCGCGCCGGGACCGCACGAGCTC